ATGAATTAAATTAAAAATTGCAAGATTTCTCTTTTTTTGCTTTATTTTGTTAACAAAAATATTTATTTAAATCGTATTTTTATTGAGAGTAATTTAAGAATGATGTAAAAATTAAATTTTAGGAAATATCTTGTTCCGAAATGTGTAAGTTATAACATCATGTGGGTTTGAAGTGTTCACACACATGAAAACCATATACGCGTAAAACATGAGATTAAAAAATTAATTCCCATATTTAGAAATTGGTTGAATCTTGAAACTCAATGGTTACTGAGACTTACATTTTTCAGCTAAAATTTCTGTTTAAGAAACATTTGCAAGTTTACCAATAGTTCGTGAATTTAGTTGCATATATGTTTTTTTCACAAGGTATTGAATCCAATCAATGCAATCTTCCAAAAATAATGTTTAATTTTAATGACAACTGTTTGGCTAAATAAAATTTATTTATACTATTGCTAGATAGACCAAACTAAATCATTACCTGTCTACGTTCTTCTTGTAAATTAAAAGTTTTCTATATGGTATTCTTAGGGCTTTAAAACGGAAGAGGAAATTATAAAAATTGTTCAGAGGAAAGATATATTTACGAGTATGCATGAAAGATATATTTATGTATGAATGTAATGCTAAGTAGTGTAAATGTTTTATAAAACAGACGTACAACCGGATAGAACGAAGCACATTTTTTTCCAATTTTGCTAAAAATAAATTACCGTATTAAATTATATAGTATAGATAGACTTTCTTTTTAATAACTTTTACTGACCTAAACTTCACAATAATTAAACCATGTTAATTTTTATTAACTGTAAATTTTCATAGTTTTTTAATCTGATTACGTATGATTTCACAATTCTATTGTGTTTTTTTTTTTTGTATTTTTACTCGTATTATGTAAGTTAATTTTACTTATGCATAGGTAAATAATGTAGAAATCCTTTATATTATTTTCCATTTAAAAATTTAATATAATACAAAAATAATATTAAAATTGAAATATTTATTTTTCAAAAGTTTAATTGAAATAATTGTTAAATCAACATAAAATTAAAATAAAAGGTTTCACATGAATTTGTTTTAAATAAAATATTTTATAATTAATTCCAAAGTGAGAAAAAAATATACTGACAAACATAAAAAAATTTTTTAAAAAAATTAAAATAAAAGCCAGTGTTTATTTTGAATAATTGTTTCCTTTGTATCACCTACATTAATTTTAATTTATCCAGAATTCGATGTAGATATTATGTCATTTGTTTAAAATTATGTAAAAATAAAATCAATAAACAATTTTATTATATTAATTTTTATGTGTTTACAGCCGAACCCGATTTCACATTCAAATAATTTCCTTCCTCCCTTACATACAATTGCATATCTTCAGGAATTACAATAAAAATCTGCTAATGATATATTATTTTTTAAAGTTAAACTACTGCCCGCCCTGGTTAGTATAAATCCTCCACATTAGAAAAATTTCAAGAAATCAATTAATCGGACCAACTTGAGTATAATTCGCGTGTTTTTTCTCAATTAAAATTTTTTTTAATTTAAATTTAACTCAGTACCCTTTTAAAAGACAATGAGAAAGATCTGTATCGATTAAATTTCCATTAACGTTCAGAAACATATATTCTTAATAAAATTTATCCTTTAAAAAACATCCCGTTTTTTGCAATTTTTTTTTTGCGAATATCAAAACAAGACTTCAAAATTTATTTATATATAATCTTTTAGGAATTTTTAAATGGAAATAATACTTAAAATATAGAAGGACGGTAATAATCTCTTTTCTTCGTATAATCTGTGTACATTTTTTTAAAAATCATAAAAGAATAAAGTTGGATCAAACCCATGGTTTGTAATATATAGAACTTTTCCCTTTAACAACTGAAAATATTTCAGTTAAAAATAATCTACTAAAATTAATTTCATTCATATACCGAAATATTTTAAATGTTTCATATACATTTAGGGTGAAGGAAAAACAAGAAACAGAAAAAGGCATTAATTTCATAGCATTTACCGTTAGCATTCTGCATATTTTTGGAAAAGTTTTCAGTTACAGAGATATGAGATGCCAGAAACTCAAATTTTACAAATTTTCGACAGCGAATACCTTAGAGGTATATAAGGGCCATTATACTAACCAGAGTATTGCTTAAACTATACAAGCTTAGTAGGCAGCTACGTTATTACTCAAAATATAATTCTATTGCAAAATGCTATAATATCTCACTCCTTTTTCAATTTATAAATTTTACCCTGATAAAAATATAAAAACTTCATTTTAATTAACCAAAAATATATAATAATGATAAAATTAAACAATTTTCTAAAACCTTTGTACTAAATTAAACAAATTTAAAATAAATTGAAATTTATTATAGGTTTATTCAATTATACTTTAAATGTTCCCAATTCTGCACTAAACTTTAAAAATATTCAATTTACATAAAATCACAAAAAAAAAAATACAAATTTAATTTTTCCTTTTAAATTATACTTGCTTTAATATCGATTCATTTTTCAAATATGAATTCATATATGTATAAACCCATATTTAACCTATAATATTAGGTGTATAGAAAAAAAAAATGAATGTTAAATAAATAAAATATAAAAAAAAAAACTAAATATAATTTGTATAATAAAATTTAATTTAATATTTAATTTAATAAAAGGTTATAACATTAGCGACCTATTTAAAGTATTTTATTATAAATTTCTTGATATTGACATAGTATACATAGATAAAACGGTAGAAATAAATTAGTTATAATTTAAAATGAATTATATATAATTTATATATATGTACACTTATGTAAATTTGTTAAATTTATTATATTTATAAACAGTAGAACACAATTTGTTAAAATACCCTTGAATTGAATTTTATGATAATTTCTATTCCAATCGAGTTATCTATCGGAAAATTTTTTAATAATATAGCATACTAATACTGTCAGAAGAATCTTTTGTATTGTCTCTTTGGCATGAATGTCCAACACTAAGCAAAATTAATGATCCATCGGCAACACATAATGTCCATCCGGAACACAATATATTCCACTATAGAACCTTCCGATATCTTTAATAATATTTTGGTATATAACAAGCCCTAACAATTTGACGATCTAAATACGTATCTGAAGATACAACACATAATCCTTCGGCTATATATATTCGTGGATATCGTGTCTGAACAGGAATTCATTGCATAGATTTTTATTACTCAGCGTAAATACCGAGTTTTGTATTACAAATGTCATATAGTATTAAGACATTTGGAGCTGAAACTCACAATTTCAACATGCAGAACAATGATAGTTTTGAAGTTCTAGGTCATTATTATTATTTTTAAAGTAACCATAAATTTATAAATTTTTCTAAACACAATCATTATTATTTTCTGAATCAAAATGTAAATTTTATAGAATCTTATTATTGAATTTTGTTTAAAGCGAGAAAAGCAAATTCAACTTAAATAATTTCTATACTGTTTCAAATAGATAATTTATTTTTTAACATGTACACAAATCGCAATCATTGAAACAAATCGAATTTCCTAAATTCTTTTTCATAATTTAAATAAAATTGGGGAATAAATAGAAAAAAAAAAGTTTGATTTTTTAAAGCATTTACTTTTGTCCTTTATCTAGAGTTTCTTCCCACTTTAAACTTTTGTTTTTTTTTTTTTTCATCATTTTTATTAGTACAATATTATGGCGTGTAACATGCAAAAATGCAATTCCCTTGCAATTGAAATGATATTAGGGAAAATCAAAAAAGAAAAGTTAAAATAAATAACGAACAAAATTATATGTGATTACAGAATGAAAACAAAAAATATTTTATTAAGATAAATAGCATAATAATTTGCAATATTAAAGTATAAAAAAGAATTGATTTTCTTCAAGAAATATAGTGAGTTATTCGACATTTTCAAATTTATTTAAAATATTCAGAATTTAAATTTTGTCATTAAAACCAAGCTAGATATACAAAAGCATCAATCACTTATTTAATATTACCGATCTACGTACGTATATTAAGATTGCAGTGAAATTTATAAATACTAAAATATTGGATTCGCCTAAATGTAAACTTACATTTGAATCTGTAGTCTACTTTCTTCAGTATATTTGAAATTTTATTGCAGAAAAAATTTTAGTGCATCCCATTCTTTATATCAATTTAAAATATACATAGATCGTATATATTTAATTAATAATTCATTAGAGTATTATATCATTGCCTTATTATGTACTCAATGTACATAATATGCACATAAATATATTTTAAACTTTAAACTGTAACTTACTAATTAAAACAAACCGTATACCGATAAAAAAATTGCCACTGCAAAAGTGACATTTCGTAAATTTCGTTTAAAAAAAAACAAATTTCGCGGCGAGGCTTGGAATATATAAGAACTGTAAGTTGCATAGATCATCTAATTCAATCATGAATACAAACAACCACTATTTTTAATTATAAATACATAATAAATTTTTGTACTATGGCAACTGTATACTGTTGCTTAAATTGGAATATCTCGAAAAAGTTTTAAATTAATTTGGATTAACGAAATGTCACGTATTGTGTTGCAGCGATAATTTTTTAGATATAAAGTATATTTATATATTTATATTCATATATGGATGTACATAAAACATTGCATATTGTACAAGCATATTTATATTTATTATTTGTGTTTATTTTTTAATTTCATATTTGTACATACAAATCCATATGTACATAATTCACATAATTTATACTTATACAAATAAAAGCATAATTTTAAATTTTTTCACATAAATTCGTTTAATATTTAAGTGTTTTCTTTATCATACTTTCGTATTATACATTTAAGTATTCCTTATTCTTTTTATCATTAAAAAATTTCGTTTTTTCTTTTGTTTTTTTTTTTTTAATAAAAAAAATATTTATTATAACACTTGTACAAAACAAAAAAAAAACAATTAAAAACTTAGGGTTCTCCCTATTTGAATAATACACCCGATACAAATCATTTACCGCATCAGCCATCACAAAATCGTTATTTATCTCCCCAACCTCAATCCCAACAACAAAAACCGTCATATCAATCACAACCACAACAACAACAGCCAGCATATCTTAGCCAACAAAATCCACCACAACAATCTCAACAATATCCCGGTCAACAATATTTCCCAAAACAACAACAACAACAACATCAACCACCATCTTCAAACCCTTCAGCTCATCAATCCCATCCACAACAAAATTCTTATCCCACCCATAATCCTCAACAAGAACAACACCAACAACAACCTAATCCAATGAATCAATCGGGTCCAACTGTTGGATTTGCTGGAGGTATTCCAGTTAAATCAATACCTGGTTTATCTCCAAATGAACCCGCCCAACAGCAATACCAACAAAATTATAATCCGCAATCTCCTTCACAACAACAAGCTCAACCAATTTATCAAGCTCAACATCAAAGATATCAGCAACCAGAACAAAATTCGGCACCATCCTATTACCAACAACCAAATCAATCCTATCCACAACAACAATATCAAAATCAAGTCCCACAACAATATTCACAGAATCCACCAAATTCCTATGGGGGCTGGTCACATGTATCAGCTCCAAAATATAATCGTCAACCAGAGCAACAACAGCAACAACAACCTGTATATGCTCCTAGCCATCAGCAATATAACCAACCACAACAACAACAACAACAATACCCACCAAATTATTCTTCGGCTCCTGTTTCCCAATTTGGACAGAGTCAGGTATCGAAGCTATAGCAAGAAAAACAAAAAAAAAAAACAATTGAGCTGCTGATTTTCAAAAATAAACAAAAAGCTTAAAATCTTGCAAGTAGTCTATAGTTTAGATAATGCTGATCAAATTGGAGCCACGAGATTTTCGCTTATTTTAGCATATTGTTACAATGCTTTTTATAAGTGTATTGGTTTTTTGTATATTCATTCCATCCGTGTGTATTCATTTTAAAAATACTTTTATTAACTTGTTTTTTTTCTTTATGAAATTGTTCATGAATGTACATTAATGTTAAAAACTGTAATGCTTTCCGCATATCAAAATCGGAACAGTACGTTTTTTACATCATTGACAGTTGCCACAAAAATGTAAATGTAAATAATATTCGTGACTTCAAAATCGCAGTAAAACTGTATTACTGCACAATTCGTCAACTCCAATCAATAAAATTACAGCGGAATTGTGTATAAATACGGTGTTATTGCACTTTTGAAATCAGGGTGTGTTTTGCTTGTGTTGAAATTTTATTTAAATAATATATATATATATGTACCGTAGTTAAGTAAATAACAAACTAATTATAAAGTATATTAAAATGATTAACTATTAACAATGATTATTAATTATATAGTATAATAAAATAAGTAGATTTTTATATTATATGAGTTATTTTATAGTAGATATATAGTTAATAAATAATATTTCTGTGACTAATATTGTAGTAAATTAATGAAAAGTATACGATAAATAAGTATACAGATTATGTTGAACTTTCTGAGATTAATTTAATTTTGGATATTAAAACACAAAATTTTGTAATTTCCACATGCAAAAGAACTTATTGTTTAAAAAACTTAAAGTAATATTACACGTTGGTTTACAGCAGTCTGATGTTTTCAATCTTATTTTTTTCTTTCAAAATTTACACAGCGTTATTGACGCTGACTAACTTGACAAATTGTTCTTAATCTCAAATTTAATTTTAAACCTTTAACTTTGTTTTCTTAAACATCTACCAGAACTCCTCCACGAAAAAGTTCCGAAGGTTTTTTGAAAAATTAGCTTCAAATAAAAAACACTTAAAATGAAATTTGTTGTTTAACCATTGTTTAAACAATTTGGTGCAACTTTGGAGCTATTCTTCGAATTTCATTAAAATTCACTTAGTATAATATATATTCTTAATTTAGCAAATGAAAAATAATTTTTTTTAATAACAATATTTAACAATAATTTTCTAATGATTTTTGTTTATTTCAAATTTTTCACACTATTATCATCCCAAATTGTGACTGATAATTAACTAAAAAAAAAAACAAATAAAATAAAAAAAATGTTATGTGTTCTTGACCTTCATATCAATCTGGCAACTATTTTACTCAACACAACATACTATATATACGCAACGTTCATACTTTCTCTAATATTCACCGACTATATCATTCTTACGGAATTTCACTTTCAATTAAAAAAATAAAAATAACAAATAACTGAAAAAAATAAAGACTTCATCAATGCCTAACGCTAACGAACAACAATTATCATCTGCTATGTCTGGCTATGGTCATGATCAACAAAATGTGAATTCTCATCAACAAGCTGGAAAAGATATTTATCAAAATCAATTACAGGGACAACAGTATCCATCACAACAACAACAACAATATCATAATCAACCGTCTCATTATCAAACACAAAATCAAAATCATGTTGATCAAAATAATGCTCATCCGCAATATCAACAACAACATCAACCTGATTCACAATCTTATATACCTCAACAATATTACAATTCACAGGGTGGTCAACAAGGTGGTGCCGGCCAAGGTGGTCAACCACAATACCAACAACAACAACAATTACAAAATCATGATCAACAGCAACCACATCCTGGTATGGTAACATTACGTAAAGATCCACCATATACCCAAAAACCAGCTCCAACTGTTGTATCCCAACCAGCAGCCAAAAGTCTACGAGGTATTGTATTTTATTATGTTATATTTTTATTAAAAATAATTTTTATATAAATATTATCATTTTTTTAAATAAAACAATTTTTTAAAAATAAATTAAAATGTTTTTCTAAGGCGGCTCCCTTATGCGTGGCGATCTGAAATGGCCACCACAAGATTGTAGAGAACGCATGGCAGCTGAAGCAGAGTTGCAAAGGCAATTGGAACTTGGACCAGCAAATCGTCCAATTAGAATGGCAAAGGTAAAACGAATTTTCATTAATTAATATTGGAAAATAGAAAACTAATGCAAAAAATGCTTATCGATTCCAAAATTTTATAATTTTTAATGTCATCTTTATGACTTTTTAGACGTTTAAATTAAAACTGTTGTTCACATTTGTCAAAGCTTTTTAATATGACAAAATTTAAATTTAAATTATTGTTTTATTTGTTTTATTTGATTTGATAAAACAAGACGTCAAAACGTTGTTCGGGAATCAGTGCCTCAATTGTGAAGCGAGACTTAGATGCCCGAACAATCAAATAAAGTTGAATCGGTTTGACATTTACAAATGTAACCAATCAACTGTAACCAATCATAACAATCATAAATCATGTAATTCATAAACTTTTGAAAATAATTACATGAAAAAACCTAAATAATAAAAAATTATAAAATATTTTTAATTTTTTATAAAAAAGGATTAAAATTTTAAAATTTCTTACCTTAAATTGTTTATAAAAAAATTTGATCTTCTTTTTTTGTCTTTTTAGGATTATTCTGGATTCTTTGCCAAACATGCACTATCTCATTATTATCCAGGATATAAAATACCGCCAGGAACTCAACATATCTATGTAGAATTTTGAAAGTTTAAAAAAAGGAATTAGATTTTATCATTATTAATTATTTTATTTTTTAAATTTATTTTTTTAATTTTTATGTTAAATTTATTAATTATGTGAAAAAATATGTTTTAAATTTTAGAAAACTCTTTTACTATATTATATAGTTACATACTAAATTTTTATATTTTATAGATATTTTATTTTTTTTTTCTTTATTGTTTTTAAAATTTATATTAACGAATTTAAATGAAAATACTTGATATATATATTTATTTACATACATACAATATTAACGATTATTAACTATTTAAATATTTATTTTATTAACGATTAAAATGAAACAAAAAAAAATATGAATAAATAAAATAAATAAATAAAATGAATTTAAAAATAAAAAAAAAAAATAAAAACGCTTGAATGTTTTTTTCTTCTCTTTATTTATTTTAATTAATCAATGCTTTATTATATAACAAATTTTGTTTGATAAACGGGTTTGTCTTTTATAAATAAATTCTTCATCCATATATTAAAAATATTGTTATTTATTAAATTATACAATATATTATATTTATATATAACATATTCTTATATCTCCATAAATTTCATATTTTTAGAATCTGTTTTGTGACATTGTTATATATACTTTTAATATACATATAGTAAAATTTTAAAACTATTATATTTAATTAATTATTTTTATTTTAAATAATAAATACATACATATTCGAAATAATAAATTATTATTTAAAAACAAAAAACAAATTAATATTTAGTTTAAAGTAAACGACACAAAAAAAAAATTTATTTGCCCAAAAAAAAAAAAACAAAACAATTAAAGAAATTTTAAAAATAAAGCGCGCTACTTAATTACCAAAAACTAATATGAGAAAATTATAGAAATAAATTAAATAATGTTTGAGTTGGAATTTAATAATAAATAAAAAGGAGAAAAAATATTATTGAAAACATTTAATTCTGGTAAATAAAAAAATGATAAGTGGGACTGAAGAAAAACTGGGAGATTATTAAGAAAGGAATTACAATAACGGATGGTATCTACTACGGATTAAAAAAAAAAGTATTACCAGATTAAATAAAAATTGGTTAAAATTTTTTGTTTTAAGCTGAAAATAATTTTTTAGAATAAAAATTTGTTAATTTGCTCAAAATTTTTTCTTTCACTTGATAGCTTGAAAATTTTTTCAAAAATTGCAAATCAAGTTAAAAATTTTAAAAATATCTCCTAATATTTAAAAAAAATAAAAATTTAAAGAAATAAATAAGAAATATTCTGAAAAGTAGTAGTAATGTTTTGGGTGTGTTTTTTTTTTAACTGTTTTCTTTTTACGCAAATTTTATATAAATTAAAAAATAATTATATTATACTTTATTGCTTTAAAATAATGATTTTTCATTTATTTTTATATAGCTCGTATATGCTTCGAATTTTTTATTTTGAAATACAAATAAACACATATATATATATATTCTAACACGAAAACATTTGTTTTTTTTCAACTTAATATACAAATTACTATTATATAAATAATAATATACGTAAATATTAATAAATTATATTAAAATAAAAAAAAATGGTTGTTTTCTGTATAGCTTCTATATATCTGTAATATAATAATTAATATTTATATACATACTTGTATACGTATAAATATATTATATATACAAAATAATAATCGAATTTAATATATAGGAAATATATAGGAAAATTATTTATTTTGAATATTTTTCTTTTTATTCTGAAATAATAATTTTCTTTTATATAAAAACAAAACACGAGGGACAAGGATTATTTAGAAAATTTAAAATATACAAATACATATACTTACATATAAAGTAAATAATATAAAATTGTTATCATAAATTGTATATACATATATATATATAGCCGTTAATTATAAATTTTATATATGTATATATACGTAGTCAAATTTATTAAGAAAAAAATAATGTTGAATATAATTAAAACGAGAAGAGTTTATATTATTTAAAAAAAAATGAGATAAAATAAAAAAGTCTATATTATATAAATTAAAAAAGATTATAGAATAAAAAACTAAAAACAAGTTTCTAACTTTACTTCAATTAACTTAAAATAATTCTATTTGTAGATATGCATAATAATAATTAAAAATGTAATCATATTCAATGTAATTAATTACAATTTATAATAATTATTATTATTTTTAAACAGGAAAACTGGCCGTTTATATAACGATTATTTAATTTAATTTCATATTAAATTTATAATTTGTTTTTTCTTTATTTTATTTTAAATAATTTTTTTTTTTAATGGTAATTACCATTTTATTTGAGGATGCTGGAAATAGTTTAAAATAAATTAAAGAAAAAACAAATTGTAAATTTAATAAGAATAAAGTAATCAGAAATAAACAAAAAAAAATACCAAATAATAATTATTATTTTTATTAATATGATTACATTTATTTTATAATTTCTATATATATATTTTTTTTAATACAACAATCAAAAATTGATCTGACATTAGTTAAATTAATTATAACGAAAATTACAAATAAAAATATTAAAAAAAAAAAACATGATTTTCAACTAAAAAACCAAATATCGAATGAAATTTAAAAAAAAAAATTAAATTATATATAATTATATTTAAAATTAAGTTTTAATCACTATTTTATGTAACAAAAAAAAAAAAAAACCCAAATTATGTTTCAACATAAAATAAATAATTTTTCATTTAAATATGCATGTATGCATCACTATATGCATATATGTATATATATATATATATTGAAAATCAATATAATTAAATTCAAGGATGTAAATAAATTAAAAACAAAAAAACAATAAAGAAAATTAAAAACAAACCAATCATGGAATTGAAAAATTGTAAATTATATCGTCATTGATAATGAATAAAATACAACATCGGATTGAAACAAAACAAAAAAAATTAGTATTTTTCAATATATTATCTTTCCATTTTCAAAGAATAACTCCTTTAAATAACCTCACCATTTTATAATCATCCTATTCTAAATAAAAATTGCAAGTAGGTTAATGGTATAGACTTCATTTTGGTACCACTTATAATATAAATCTCGATAATAAGATTTCAAATTCTTTACTTTTTATTTCCTGATTTTTATGATGATTATTTATACTGACTACGTATAAATCGTAATTAATTTAAAATTTTATTAAACAATCTGAAAAAATGATAATTCGGACATACACTGAAAGTTCTAAATTAAATCTTAAAAGTCTTTGCATGCTACATACTTACAAATCTACAGAAACTAAATATTTGACTTTTTGATTTTTAACATCAAGATATTCTTCAACATCCAGCATTTTGCTCGTCTTCTAATTTAAAACTTTTTGGCAGTAGTTTAAAAAAAACTTAAAAATTCCTTTAGAATTTTAAGCATAACGAGCTTTATATACAGGATGATTTTGAAAGTTATACAACAACATATACTATTGGTTAGAAAAACTTGGATAAGTAAAAATTTTGTAAAATTTCGTTAAAATCCCTAAAACTCGGAAGTCCTTGAGATTTGGCACCCAGTCTGGAACAAAAGTTGTACCAATTTTCGATCTTCTAAGTAATGGTATATTATACACATATATAAGACTTTTTTGATCTATCGAACGAGCTTTATATATTAAGGACTTAAGTTAAGAACTGAATACTCGAAAATTCCCAAACAAATATTTATCGCTTAAAACAAGAATAATTATCATATTACATTTCTGTACCATCATTCCTTTAATTTTTCAAAATCTAGTATCTCAGTGTTCATGACTCCGTAGTAATCAATAAACCTAAAATCAAAGTGTTACGGGAAAAAAGTATTCATAGAAATAAAAAGTATTCAAACAATGTAATTTTTAATTGTACAAATAAAATATGCAAAAGTAGAAAAGGCAAAGTTTCTTAAATCTATGGGTGAAAATTATAATTTTCCAAAAGAAAAAACTATAAATAAAATAATATTTATTGTGATATAATTTCTTTTATTACTTCTTTCCAATTTCAGCATGTATATTACTAATTTTACAAGAGTTATTAAATAAAAATTAAAAATTTATTTTAAAATTATGAATTGCTGAATGTAGGTTCCAGACCTAAATAAATTAAATTTTTCTCAATTTTTTCATTTTAATAATAGTGGACTCTTCAGAAATTCATTAAACATATTTTTGAAATTTATCAAATAAATGTTAAAAAAAATATGCATTTCATTAATTAAATTATATTTATTTAATTATGATAATTATGTTATGTATATTAATCTTAATTATTATTAAAATATACTTATTCATATTACAATTAATTAAAAATGTTATGTAACAATCAGAAAAATTTGTTGTTTTTTGATTTATTATCGTCGTGTATAATAAATAACATTATGTGGCACACTAGTGTCTACTACTTTAGAAGAAAATTAATGGACTTGGACTTGTATTTGTAATCATTTTTTCCTTTTATTTTTTTAATAGATATTTTTTTTTAATTTAATATTAGCTACTAACTTTAAAATTGATTTTTATTTTTTTATTCTTTTAGAAAATAATAAATTTACTTTTTATTTTCCTTTAAAAAAAATCACAAAATATTTTTATTAAAAAATTATATAAAAATGATTGCAAATTTTTTTTTATGTTGTAATTGCGTTAAATAATTTTGTATCATTGAGTTTAGAGATGATTTATTGTTTTTTATCTTTCTAAATTACTTATTATTTTATTATGAAAAAGTCTTGTAAAGTTCAAATAAATAAACATTAAAATCAGTTTCCTTTTCGTTTTGAATATTTCTTTTTATGTCTAAAAATAACTAATAATTAAAATATAAGCAACATTTTTTGATCATATTATTATATTTTTAAATATAGTTTGTATGATGATTTAATGTTAGATTCTAATTATCTGAACAGGGCGAGGTGTTTTGAGCATCTTCCTTTTCATCTTCCACATCCATTCTTTTACTAGCCCTGCTTTTACCCGAACCAGAAGGGGTATTAGATTTCGAATCATTACCATGTTTCTTAGTATCGTCGTCATCATCATCATCTTCTTCTTCTATTAGTTTTCTTGCTAATCTTACAGCCGCAAACTCATTATAATGAGCTTTACGTCGCTTTTCAAATTCTATTCGGCGTACTGCAAAAAAAATTTTTTTTTATTGTTTATTTAAAAATTTTTGCAATAAAAAAAATATATGTATATATCAAATTATTTATTTAACTATGTACACATTTAATTCATAATATGACGTCACCATATAAATAATTTCACATTTTTTTCAAAGCTATTTTATTTAAATTACTCATGGTAAAAGTTAATATGCATAATTATTGAATTAAATAAATGAATATAAAAAAGTAAATTCAGGGAATGGAATGAAAGTTTTGTGGCCTTATAGCAAGATTGCAATTTTTATGTAAGAAGCAGTATGCACATACCTAAAATTAATGTAAATTTATAATTTTTACATTGTATTTTCTTAACTTATATTTATTTTCTATTTATTTTCTTAATAGTAAGGAATATCTTTGTTTTGAGTTTGTTGCGATAAACGTTTATAATTGAAAAATACGTCATCACATGAGTGCAGTTGTTAAGTAATGAATGATTTCATTTTTATGTAAATATGATTATTTATATAAAAGTGTATCAGCATAACTATTATTATAAAATTTGTTTCATTTAGCTACATATGTATGTATGTATGTACATATATGCCTACTTTTTTTTTGTGCAACACGTGTTTTAATTTTAAAAACAAATTAACATTAGTTAAGCCTTTGTTTACCGTTTATTGTTATAAAAATGTAACGTTTATTAATAACTATATAATGGTTTCTCAAGTTAAAAATAAAAAGTAGAAATATCAAATGTAAATCAAAATTATTTTGCTGGCGCATGAAATTTTCCTTTCAGTATGTAATTACTTGTTAACAGTAAAAAAAACATTATATGCATATGAATATAATAGACACAGGTATGTATATGTAAATTTCTATAACATATTGTTCTAAATATATCTACAATGTATTATTTAGTTGTGTTATAAAGCGCAGTATGTAATTTTTTACTTCTATTTTTAGGTTCTTAAATTATGGTAGGTACCTATGCTTATTTGTAAATTTTCAACTGAACATAGAATTGACAAAAAAAGAACAGTATGTAGTGACCAAAAATCAATACTTACTAAATTAATTTATCGTCAAGCTTATAAATCATTATTTTGTCGTAGCGCTTATGTATTTCTGTATTAAGTAGTTACCTATCTACTATGTATATATACTTATATACATACATAAAATATTCTAATTTTAATCCGTGATTTTCTTTACTATTTAAAAATATATTTAAGTCAAATCGATTATAATTAGATTATGCGTAAAGGATGGTTGAATAGACTATTTTATAAAAAGATAGAACCGTTTCGCACTGTACACTCACCCTTTTCTTCTTCTGTTTCATTTAAATCTTCGTCGGATGACTCTTCAACCTCAAAGGAAGACGTTCTTGTATTAGCTGCTTCAGCAAGTCTACAATTTTATCATTTTTAATTTTATTTCGAGTTACGCTCTCGAATTAATTCAATAAATACTTATTTACTTTTTGGCTAAGAGCTCTGCATCTAATTGATCGCCACTTGCTTCATCAGGATCAACATAATTGTATGGCGTTTTTGGCTCCTCTATTTTCATGTGTCCATAATCCTTATCAGGTGGATGATATGTTTGTAAAACATTTATTTCGTCAAATTTCGCACTTTTTCTATGACTATAACGTAACCATTTTTAAAATGCATCTTATTTACTTTCAAAATTTATAATTCATTTTTGTTACCTGGCTCCGCTATGTTTATCAAAACTACTTGATGTTTTCAAAATTCCTTTACAAGGCTTTTTAGCATCAGGAGAACCCTGCATTTCTATTGGCCTTTTTAAAAATGAAATCTTTTAAAATTTTTATATTAACTTAAAAAACCCCAAATAGCTGATTTGCAAATTATACTATGTAAATTTTTTATTGACAGCTGGAATTTAAGTATGACTTCATTGATTACTAAGGTTGGATTTTATTTGTATTCTTCACAAAAACCGTACAAATTGTAGTAGAAAACTTCAAATCAAAATTTTTTAATAAACTTCTGCGAAGTGTGAAGCTAATGCAAAAAAGCAGAACAGTAAAAATGTCAAAATGAATGTCTTGCTTGCTGATTTTTTGTCATTTTTCAAGTAGTCCGTTTTTGGAAATCAGAAAACATCAAACATAGTTTGACATTTTAAAAATAATTATTTTCTGTAAGTAAACTAACTATATAAGCATTATGTCAATGTTTACTGATATTTAAATATTTATTTATTTACTTTTTTCATTTATTTTTTAATGATTTATCATTATTTAGAAATTTTTTGTGACAAAAATATATGTATACACTTATCTTTCGATTTATTAATTCACGCGAATTAATTTTGAGTTTGCTTTTTAATTGTTAAAAAAAATCTAAATATATGTCTCTTATAAAAAAAGGTTGCCATTTTTTTTCTGTTTTAAAAATTAAATTTCGAAGGTTTTTATATATCTAAGCGTTATTCCGGATAAACATGTAGTACTACACGATTTTAATTTAATTCTTTAAGTTTTGTTGAAATAATATTGTGTCAATATAACTTATGAAACCGGGTTGCGCGAAATTTTTTTTTAGCTAATTATTCTATTTCCTTTGAATTTTATTAATCATTGTAAGAAATTTTTATACATTGAAATATCGATTTTTTTTTCTTTTTAACGTAGATTTTATAAAAACCTGTCTTGCACGTAAAACGACAATGTTAAAAAAACTGCTAAATTCTTAGCACAATTTAGTTTGTCAAAAAAAGTTTAAAGTGCTTTGAAAAAATTATTAATTTACAAATAAAAGAGAACGTCAATTTCATTACAAATCAAGACTATAAAAAATGAAGAAAAATTTTAAAACATAAATACCTACTTTCACCATTTTTCCGTTGACAAAAACGATTTTTTCTTTTACTGGCAACGTTCGAAATAATATATACCTGCTCAAGTTAATAGTTTTTCTGTAAGGATAAAATTATAAAACGCTACCTAAAAAAAATATTTATATTCCAAATTTTCTGTAAAGCTTTTAAAGCTAAACAAAACAGCTGACAATCAAACAGTTTCTTTATTATGTGATTTGACAGTGACATTTTAACAACTTTATTACATTATACGCACTGAAAAAAAATTAATTCATTTTTAAAAGCAAATTTTAATTACTTTCATATAAAACGAAGAAATAATTTTTTTTCCATAATAAAATAGTGTGTTCAGTGAACAATCCTTCAAAAACAGAAACATTTTTAATTAAGAAGAATTGATAAATAAAGGAAAACAATGTTAAATGGTAAGTTAAAATTTTTAATTTAAATATTTAGAATGATTTTTACAATATATTCATTAAATATTTCTGAATATTTTCTAATGTTCTGTATTTATTTTATGTAATGTTATAATCTAAGACAATGCATATAAAATAATATATTATTTTAGTAATTTTCTATTCAATTTATGTTTATACATGCACTCATTTTTATATATATGTACATACATACATATTATGCATAGAAAGAAATAATTTGTACATAATAATGTACATAAACGTATGTATACATATAGATTTTAAGAGTGATTTTAATCATTATTCATTTAATGGAGTCTTTTCTTTTCAGTATATTTTATTAGACACTATACGAAAAACAACATACATATGTAAATGCATATTTTCATGCACTTGTAATAAAATCAATAAAATCTTACACAATAATTATTATTTTTAATCAATATTCATTATAATATCTAGATCAAAAATATTTTTATAGAAATATAAGTGTTCCCTTTATATTCCCCTATATTTTGTGAATGTTTGTATTTTTGTACACACATATGTATAAGCATAAATATAAAATTTGCATAACGAATTTCGGATAAAAAATAAAAACAAGAAAAAAAAGAATAACAAACTTTATTTCCGTAAATATAACCTATTTCATTTTGCTATAGAACTCTGATAAATCAATTAAATATAATGAACTTGAAAAAATATAATACAAGGCCATTAATATAATACATTTTTTTTTTTGCAATACAACATAGAAATTAGTTTAAATTAAATTCAATTATATTATAATTGCATTATGTATGTATATTCATAACTTATGTATATACATATATTTTCTCTGTTTATCGAAAGTCTACTATACTCACTCGTATGTATATGTACATAGGTACCAACTCCCTATCTATTTAGCTATTATTTCAAACCCTTTTATATATAAATAATTACATTGAAATTTATTCTTGTTAAATTTAAAACTTTAATTTATATCCAAAACTTTATATAAGTATGTATATAATATGTACATGCTCATTAACATACTTATTTACAAAGGCTAGAATTATAAAAATCGAAATTGGGGGATTTCCCATTTATAGTTAAATTGTTATTAAATACTGCATGTAGATTCAATAATATGCAATATTATGTACATACATTCAATAATATATGTACATACATATAAATTTTATTTATTAATGTACGTTATTGTTTCCTGTAATGATATCTAACAGATTTGCATGTACGTACCTATGCATATCTAACTCTATAACTACAAAAAATATTTGCACATAGAAATAACAAAATTAATTGTTTACATAATTGTGTACCTACATACATATATTAGTACATACTCATATATATATATATATATATCTACAGAATATATATTGCATATACAAATTTCAAATTGTAGAATGATTAATTTTCAAATCAGCTATTATAAAATAATAAAAAAAAATTATTTTACTTATTCAAGCGTATATTTAGAAATGACGCATTATGAAAAAAAGGCAATTTAATCAATGTATAATTTAAAATGTTTTATAAAATAAGTACTATTTGTAGTATATAGGTACTGATGTACAGGGTGGCTAAAACTCAACAGAACTCAAGCATAAAATGATTCTAGGCGAACAAGAACACCTGATATTTCGCTTTTCGGGGCCTTCCTTCTCGAATTATGAGGCTTTAAAATTGAAATTTTTGGAAGCCAACTCAATGTATACTCATTTCGAATGTCACGAAATTCCCTTTCCAACACTGTATCACAGATTTTGCACACCCTGTATGTATGTATATATGTATATGTATGTATATTCATTAAAAAATATGCTTATAATTTAATTAAAACACAATATATATATATCAACATTCTTCTTCATTTTAATTATTTTTTCTTTAATTAATTAATTTTTAATTTTGTTTTGTAATTTTTATTAAATTTTTGTAATTATTTATTAATTGTTATTGAGAAATTTATTTATTACCTTCCTTGTAAATTTTTTTTTTTAATTATCTAATAATTTCACAAAATAATTTACTTCTTTTTCCAATTTAATATTTTGCAAAATTATTTTACAAAACGGCTAGTCATCCATCAAGAAGCTGAAGAAAAAATATGTTAATAATTACTTGCCTACCTTAAAGAACATTAGAAAAAGTCTAATCTTGTAAAAGTAATTATTGAAAGACTTGGCATATTATTTTCATTACAATACAGAAATATAAATAAATATAAGAAAATTAAAATAAATCATCAATTTCATCACCTAATTATACTTCATGGCTTGGTTAGGTTTTGGAGCTTTAGCTTCGGGCTTAGGTATATTTACTTTATATATTCTCTAATCTTAATATTTTTAAGAAAAATATTAATATTATCTTTTAAAATAAAATCTATTTGTTTTACTAAAAAACTTTTATTTATAGTCCTTCAAAAACTACTTGGAGGGGATGCTCCACCAAATAAAGTTCAAGAAATTAAAAATGATGCGTTGGGAATGATGCAGGTAATACATAGGGATGAAGCAATGATATTAGTTGCTCCACCAATAAATCTACCAGCTGATAAAAAACCTATATATGAAATTATTTTACAAAGACCATGTACTGATTCAACAACAACCTCATTTAGGTAAAGTAACTGTTTAGGAAATAAATGTTAAATTTAATTATATTTTCCTTATTTTTTAGCTTATATCGTGCAGAAAGTCAATCAGATGCTGAAGATAAATTTCATGCTTTCCTTCATAGATTGCCAATTTTTGTAAATATAGTTAAAGAAGTAAATAATTTTTTAATTATTTTTATAGTGATTTTTCTTAATAAGTAAATAAAACGGTTATTGATATTTTTTCCTCTCTCACAGTTTTATAATGTTGCCGGAATACAAAAAATTTGTGATGTGTTATCTGAAAACCCGTCATGGTCTCTGGCACATCTAGTGGCATATTTTAACTTAGTAGAATACGTGTCGCACCCAAAAATTTTAGAATTTATTGAATATGCAGATCATGAAAATTTACTTTCACCATTTCAAGTATGTTGAAAATCATATTATATAAATATTAAAGTTAAAATAAAAATATTCTTTCGTTTTAGCTGGCTGTGAAATGTGGTAATATTGAAGTAGTGAAAGCTTTGTTACCGCTTTCCAATATTGAACATTTAGATAAAAACAGTAATTCAGTGTATCATTATGCTGCAAATACAACGAAGGATATTGTAAATGTAAGGTCTAATGCAAATTAAAATACGTTATAAGTATATATTAACATTTAAAAAAAATCTTGGTTCTTCCTTATTACATTTTAGATTCTAACAGCTAAAAGTACCAAAAATTTAAACCATTTTAATTCCGACGGTTTCACTCCATTGCACTTAGCTTGTATGTATGACAAGCCTGAATGCGTCAAAGCTTTACTTTTTAGTGGTGCTGATACGAATCTCATAGCACAAAACCTTAATAAACAATATAAATCAACAACACCAAGTTCAATCGCTGACTTTTTAAAAAGTAATGCAAATAAATTATACACCCAAGATATGAAGTATGGTGGCACCCCATTACATTGGTGTTCTTCTCGAGGAACATTGGAAGCTCTTATAGAACGAGGATGTGATGTTAACGCATTGAATTTTGATGGGAGGACAGCCTTGCATATAATGGTGGCTCGAAATAGGTTTGAGTGTGTGGTTACTTTATTAGCTCACGATGCTGAAGTGGATGCCCTCGATAAAGATGGAAATACTTCTTTACATATTGCTATCGAAAAAAAACTTGTACCAATTGTCCAAAGCTTAGTAGTTTTCGGATGTGATATTAATATGAAGAATAAAGAAGGTGAAATACAATATTTAAAAAATATCTGAACAAAAAACAAATCAACTCTTTTTGAAATTTACAAATTCAGGAAAAACTCCAAGGCATATGGTTGGAGATGAAGCTAATGGAAGCAAAAGTGATGAGATATTATATATACTACACTCTGTTGGAGCTAAACGTTGTCCTGCAAAGACCAAAAATTGCCAGCCTGGTTGTGTAAATAATGGAACATACAATGGTATTCCACCAACAGCACCCGAGAGTGTTGAACAAAGAGAAGAAATTCAGCAAATGTTAGCTTCTACATTTAGAAATCAATCAGGTCCTAGTAGTAAAAATGGGCCTAGTTTAAGTGAATTTCCTTCAACGTAAGTATTACAAAATTTGATATATAAAGTCAATATATGTATAATTGCGACATGTAGCACGAACGTAGTTGATACAACACTAGAAGAACGAGGGCACAGTGTTATGGATGCTATCCTAGGAATGTTTTCTAGTAAAATTGTAAAAGCAGAACCGTCTCCAGCTTCATCTCAAAAAGGTGAGTTTTATACACTCCCGGAAACTATTGTGATAATCAAAAATTTATTTTTGCAGATTCACCGAATTCTCCTACTAGCCAAAGTAGCATTGAAAGCAACAGCAGTCAAAAACAACAATTTATGGAACTAGACGAAAAACCAAAAACTCACGGAGGGCGTCTATTGTGTTTAGATGGTGGTGGTATACGTGGTTTAGTTTTAGTCCAAATGTTACTCGAAATTGAACGTCTTTCACAAACACCTATAATTCATTTATTCGATTGGATTGCCGGTACAAGTACTGGCGGAATATTAGCACTTGGTTTGGGGTGTGGGAAGACAATGCGCCAATGCATGGGCATTTATATGCGAATGAAAGAACATTGTTTCGTTGGTTCCAGGCCATATGCTAGCGAATTATTAGAAAATGTACTTAAAGAAAATTTAGGTGAATTCACTGTTATGGCAGATATCAAGCATCCAAAAATAATGGTATGTGGTGTAATGGCCGATCGAAAGCCGGTTGATTTACATCTCTTTAGAAACTACACAAGCGCAAGTGATATTTTAGGAATAGTAACCCCAGACAGTAAGTAAATTATTTTAAATTGTAAGATTAATTTTATAACGGAGTTTACTATAAAGCTAACAGAAGAATCCCACCACCTAAACCGGAAGATCAATTAATTTGGAGAGCTGGAAGAGCATCAGGGGCTGCTCCTTCATATTTCAGGTAGCTTTTTGTTTATATAATATGAAGAAAATTCTTTATCAAATATACTTTTATTATCTTAGAGCATTTGGACGATTTTTAGATGGAGGTTTAATTGCAAATAATCCAACCTTAGACGCTCTAACGGAAATTCATGAATACAACATGGCTTTAAAAAGTATTGGAAGAGAATCTGAAGCAAAACCTGTAACATTTAACTTAATTTATTAAAATAATTTTATTAATTCGGTTTTATTTTAGGTAACAGTCGTTTGTTCTTTGGGTACTGGATTGATTCCCGTAACAGAGTTAAAAGAAATAGATGTTTTTAGACCAGAAAGTATTTGGGATACTGCAAAATTGGCATACGGAATTTCTGCTATTGGTATACCTTATTAAATTTGAAAATTAATTAATTATATAAACTTAATTCTTACTAATAGGTAATTTGCTTGTTGATCAAGCAACCGCTTCTGATGGTAGAGTAGTTGATAGGGCAAGGGCTTGGTGTAGTATGATTGGAGTACCATATTATAGGTATATACTTAATTTTTTCGATTTTGTCATTGCATTAAATACTTTAAATATGATTACTTAATACTTAATTTTTGTAGATTTAATCCTCAGTTAAATGAAGATATCGTAATGGATGAAAAAGATGACCAAAAATTAATTAATATGCTCTGGCAAACCAAAGCATATATTCATGCTAATCGTACGAAAATAATGGAAATGATAAATTTATTAAAATAGCAGTTAAGAAAAATTTAGAGAAACATTTTTGAATAAAACTATTTTGATAAAACTCTTTAGATAAAAAACCATAAGAAAAATGTTTATATAAAATTTTTATTTATAATTTTTATTTATAATTGTGGTTAATTCAAGTAGATGTGGAATTAAAATAAAAGAATAATGTTTTGAAAAAGGAAAATATTATATAATTTATATTATAAGTTGCAACTTCTATAAAGCTTATATAATTAATATTCAAAGTAATTTATTTTAGTTTCAGGCATTATTTGAAAATTTAATTTAAAATAGTTTTCTTTTTGTCATGGTCACATATTTTCATAAATGTTTCAATCAAATTTTGTAATAAATGTACTGTATTTTACTAATACTATCGTATAATTATGTATAAATGTATGTATTTGTATTTCAAAAACGGATATTAAATGGCTTATGATTTTATTAAACCCGAAATTATATTAAAAAAATTAATTAAATAAATTGTTAATTAACTTTAAATGTATCTATTAGCTACAATTAAATTATAAAAAGAAAATTTTTTAAATATGTTTTTAGGTTATAAATTAATTTAATAATTGCTTGCATTTTTAATAATTTTATTTAAAAAAAGAAAATCAATTTAATTAAAGAAATTAAATCAATTTGAAATAACATAAAATATTTATTAGTTAAATAATTTTTGAATTTTTCATACTCTTTTAGAAAAAAGTAAAAAACTTTAATTTTTAAGAAAAATTGTTTTTCTTAAGAAAATTTTTTAGTATTATCATCAGAAAATACTTGCATCACAATTCAGATTATTATTTTTTATACTGAAACATATTTCTCTTAGCTGTTCGCGTATTCAAAATGAAACGGGAGAATCAAAGGCGGTATTTGTAATAAGAAAACGAATAATTTTTTTTTCATTCAACCGCTTTAATAGCAATCCCAATGCACAGACCACCAATACTAACTGAATATTTAGATTATATTGGCACTTTATTATTCAGTGGACCATGTCATTTCAAAACTTTTACAAGAAATGCATTTTAGGTTTAGTAAAATTGCTTCAATTGGTGGCTGCTGCTTTATTTTAACATTACTTTCATTATATTATCTGAATGATTACCTGAAATATCTTAGTTTGACAATTTATTAATACACGTAGTCTCTCTAAAATTTTAAATAATTTACATTTTAATATTTTTTTTATTCAATATGTTTTGTTGATCATAATGAACATCGCTTTTCTTAAAGAAGAAAATGTATGTAGATATAAATTTATATTAAAATTTAAATAATTCTTATATTATTTTAGCGCTTATCTTAAAAATAATTTGCGATTAGTTTTTGTGTTAAATAGTTTTTTAAACCTATAAAAATTAAACATGTATATTAACTTAAAATCTAGTTTTTGAAAAAGAAGAAATAGCTAAATTTATACGCCAATTATTATTTTATGTTATTGAATGAAATATAAGTTGAGAGTAGAAATAAAAGAAAAATAAAGACAATATTTTTAATGTTACAATAAATTTTATTAACTTAAACAGTATATCAAATAAGATTTTAAAAACATATTTAAATTTATACATATAAACAAAATATTTTAATATTTTATCAAGCAATTGATGTGATTTTCACATACATATATAACATTGAAATCTATTTATTTATGTTATTTTTTGGTTTCAGTGTTTGTTTTCTTCTATCTCTACTAACTCACTAAAAATCTATACAAAACATTAAAATACTAAGTGTTATTGGTTATGGTTTACTTATAAAATAGAAACACCTTTCACTAACATATCAAATCTTTTAAAAATTCTTTCTGAGATCTAAGTCTGTAAAAAAATATTTTCAATTTGCTTGATAAAATACATGAATCAGATCGAAATAATTTAGAGAATTTAAAATTTCTCTAAAAACTTTTCTTGAAATTAAAAAAAAATAAATTTTGTAAATGTGAATAATTGTTTTATCAATAAATAAATGGATTCAAAGATGTAAGCGATGTGGTTTCTTTTTCAAATGTATAAATTGTATTTTTGTTGATATATACATATAGTATATATACATATATATATATATAAATGTATGTATTTAAAAATTTTAAATAACGTATCATCACACTTTAATCAAGTTCTAATGAATTTAAAACAATTTTTAATTTAGAAATTAGATTTATTTATGCTGTGTTACATATTTTTTTGAATCATAAAATTGAATAATGCTAATTATAATGTCGGTTGTTAAATTATTTGTCTTCAATTATACACATAATATTAATGCCACTTTTTCCTAAATTGACGCCTTCCAAAAGGCACTCATGATGATTTTTCATGTATATTAAAAACTGTATGATTACATAAAACAAATTATTGCGATCATGTGCACAATTATGTACTGTATTATCACTAATAAAATTGAATTTTGGTCTTAATTGATTTGTACATAAAATTGCACATCCAGACTTATTTTTAACTTCTGCTAACTGTTCGGCTGTTGATTTCTTATCGCCTAAAACAACGTATCGATTGTAAAACGGACGACCACCTGGTTGTGGTAATGGCATTAATTGTGTATCTAAATATGTGCAAAAAAGATGAAATAAAATTGCTGAGTCGGTTGGTAAATGTTCATCCCATTTTGTTCCATGATATGAAGAACCGGAATTCCAGTGATAATTCTGAATACAACTGCCTTTTCCAAGATCTAAAATAAAAGAATATTTCAATTAAAATGTTGAACGATAATTTTTGTTAAAAATGTTACCTATAATTCTTTGTACCAAATATTCTTGGTTTGTTGTCATATCCAAAAATGGAACGATTAACGGTAGCATCGGAACATGAAGATTAACGAATTGTTGGTTTTCGGCAGTTTTCTTCAATCTTTCTAAGCCAACTGCACCAATTTTCATATCTGCAAGACCGTGAGCTTTAAGAGCAGAATCAGTTTTCTTGATTTCATCAACTAATCTTTGCAATATTGTACCTGACGTCCACTAAAATTTTATATTTTATTATATAATGATTATAGATAAGGTACAAATTTTAATCGTACCATTCTTAAATTTGTTACATATTTAGATAATTTGGCTGAGGAAATTTTCTTAATAATTTCAGAATGTACATCCAAACTGACATCAAAACCAATTTCATCCTGTTTTAGATGGGGACTGGGTACCGCAACTAAAGCAAAAATGAAGTAATAAAGTAATAAAAAACTTTATAAATTCTAAAAAAGATATACGAGTACCTACCAGTTGAAGGGCTTAATTGATAGATTGATGTTTTTAAAAGGTTTGCTGCTGCATTGTAATAGTTCCAAAAGGAGTTAATTGACGTTGTATTATAATGATGATGTCCTGTATGGGGTTCGCTCATAGTAGACTCTTTACTTGCAACTTCTCTTTAAATTAAATTTTAATTGATTTATACTTATAACTTTACCAAAATATATGACCTGCTGTACTTACCTCAAATATTGCCTTAATTCTTTTTCTTCTGTTATAAGCGCCTCTTCTTTCGCATATTTCATATATGGTGACATGAACGTGTTATTACCAGAACTAATTGCACTACCATTCAAGTAAGAGCTATTTTGCATAGATGAATTCCATGAATTATTTTGTGAAGGACTTATACTTTGTCTTGGTGGTGTAGTACGATTATATGCCCAAGGTGTACCGCGTCCGGCTTTTTCATTAAAGTTCATAAAATCAGTCATTATACAGACAAAATAAGTATTCTATTTATTGTATAAAACTTACAGTCATTAAAAGATGAATGCCAACTTAATATTGTAACATTTGCCGGAGTATTATGTGACAAATTATCTTCTTTTTTTGGTGCATCTATTACAAATGATTTATCGTTATCATCAAATTTTAAAAGAGATTTTTGTTCCGCTGTTCCATGGAGTGTCTCCGTTCCAAAAATGTAATACAAATATTTTCCAAAATAGCATATGACACTACAAGCAATAATGCCGGTGGCTATATATTCTATGTAAAACCAGTTTGAATGAGCATATGGGCATTTGTTAGATATATCAAATAATAATATTCCTAACAGGATTGTATCTAAAATATTAAAATTGAGCAAGAAGTCATTTTAAATATTTACAAAATCTTAAATACATACTGAAAGAACCCCATTTTAAACATTGTTTCGCTCTTTTAGCTTTTAAGTGTAAATTTAGTCCTTTGTCAACAAAATTTGGTTTCATTGGTGTACTAAAAAAAAATTTGTATTAAATTTATTAGCTTAGTTTTTAGCACATAAATTTTACAGACACACCAATTTGTGTGAAGTGAATTCATGTTGAATTTTTCATCCAAGATGCTGGTGTATACATAGATAGGTACCTACCTATCTACCTATGAACGTTTATTAAAAAATGCGAGTATTCAAATTATCAAATTATTTGAGAAATTTAAATTATAACACTATTTCAAATAATTTTTTTTTTTATTTTTAATACATAGTATGTGTGATTTATTTTAAAATCAAAAGTCTACTTTTTTTAATTCTTCCGAATAAAAGATTGAAAAATTCATAAACAAACTTAAATCAGATTATAAATTTTAAAGCACAACTATAATGTCAAGTAAATCTCTTGGCGGTATATTTTACCGATTCATATTATTTTTTTTTTGTTCAATTTGACATATTTCATATTCATGACAGATACACAAAAAAGTCGAGATTTTAAAACTTTCGCTATTCCAAAAATGATTCCCACAAGAAATTAACGTATCAATAAGTAAAAATAAAATGAATTAATAATAATATGTTTATTTGTCTATCACTTATATATATTAGAGTACAAACTGGTGCTGACGTTTTTTCTAAATTCTAAAGACGGGTTATAAGTGTCAACAAAAATTTTTGATTTTTTGCAAAAATATTATATAAACATTTAAGGTTAGGTAATAAATAAAACGGAGTATGTAACTTGATAACGTACAAGTAGAAAATTGTGATTTAAAATTTTGTCAAAAAGAGTAAAACTTGCCGCGGCATTGAAATTATGAAAAAAGAATTACAAATTTTTAAATTTAAGTAATAAAATTTATTAATTTTTGTGTATAAAAAATTTCTTTTATCACAAAATAACATGAAGGTTTTTTGTTTCGTTTTAATTTTCGTAAATTTAAAATTGGAATTCTGACGCCTAGGAGCAAAACCATGTCAAATTAAAGTAATAATAAAAAGAGCGGGTTTAAGGTAGCGATTAACTTCGCATTAGAACAAGCACATTATTACTTTTGTGTGTGCGAAAATGTTTCTCATTTCGATTCAATAAATATTATATAATTGGTAATTGGGTCATAACATAACCTTTAAATCTCGGAAGGTACATTGGTAAAAATTTTTTTTTGAAAAAAAATAATAGGTTTCTAGCAACAATATCAATGTAGTAGGTATATGTGAATACAAATATGTCTGTACATATGTAAGTATTATGTATGCCAACAATTTTAAACAAGCAATTCAATTTCTAAGAATCATAAATTTCGTAAGATTCAGTTAAAATTAATATAATAACTTAATAAATTTTATTTAAACAATTCCGACAGGACAATAAATTCATCTTTATATTTTAAATGTTTAATAATGTCCCGTATAATTATACAAATATATTGACGTGCGTGCGTGCAAAGTTAAATGACATAATATTCGTTTTGCTTCTGGAATAAATAATTTTTTTACCTAATTTTAAATAAGTATATACGTGAAATGATTGAAAAAGTGATTATTTTGATTTTTTCGGGTGCATTTTTTGAAATTAAAAAAGTTTTTGGTTTGATTTTCCATTTTGTTGTAATCACATTTGCAAGTACATATCTACATGTATTTGTTTATGTATAATTATATAGATAGGTTATGAACGTTATATAGTGCGGCTGTAACGTATTGGAAATAAATTAAAAGATATCAAAAGTTTCAAAATTTCGATAAATTAATATTGTTAATTCGTCTAAAATTTATACTAAATTTCATTATACATACATACTTGCATATTATGTATAGTGTCCATTATTATATGTATATGTAATAATGCTCTGCTTGTTAAAAATGTTAAATAAAAATCTGTAGAATTACTAGGATTCCCATATTGTTCTTTTTTAAAAAGTGGACGCCCCTAATGAAAAAAGTGTACTTTCTTATAACAGATTTTATAAAAAAGTGTGTAAAGTAATTTAGGTACAACGTAAAGTTTTTTTTTTTTTTGAAAAATTAATATTTTTATTCAAACAAATACATATACATAAATATTTATTAACAAAAATTAAAATTAAAAATTCAACATAAACATATTTTAATCAATTCTAATTTTTAAATTAAAAAAAAAATATGGTGAAATTTCAAATTTATTCATTTGAAGACAGAAAACGAACGAAAGATCTTTTAAATCAAAATAATATGAACAGTGGTTTGTTTATTATTACTAAAATTTTATTATTCGTTATCCGGAATAAAGAATAATTAAAAAGGAATAACTTATTCCTTTTAGTTTCTCCTTTCATAAAAGCTAGAAGAGCCAAAATAACTATAAAAAATAAATATTATTAATAAATCAAATATAACATTCTTTTGTTACGTACTTCTTAGATGATTTTAACGCTTTTATACCTCATCATCTTTTATATATTCTTAAAATTGTTTACATATTATATTAAAGTTATATTTTAAAAGTATCAAACTTTTAATGTTATCATACTTAATCTATTCCGGCCATCAAACCATTGTTTATTAATTAAGCTAAATGTTCAGTTTCTTCTTGAAAATTTCATACTGTCAAGGCTGTGACCACAAACTACAAGCAAACAGTTTTTTTTTAACAAAGAGGTGAAATAAATAAAGGATTCTCTTTCTCTTGTCAAAAAAATGTAAAAAAGTGTATGCTTTAAAAAAGAAAATACATAAAAGTTTTTTTCTTGAAAAAAGAAAAGTAAATAAAGTATCAATTCGTGAAAAGTAAACATTTACATTTAATAATTTATACTTAATACCCATTCGTACACTTAAAAGTACACTTAATATTCGTATAGTTTTAAGCGTGCGAATGGCAACCCTAGATTAGTCATAGTTTCCTCTTTCCACCTAAAACCTTAATTATTGAACTAATCCAAATTATATCAATTTTTTTTGCAGGTACATACAAAGCATTAATTTCTACTTATATGTAAATACACGCATATACAGATGTACATATGTACATATGTGGTACATATATGTAAGACATGGTAAAACGCCTATATGAGCTCATTAAATTTAGCATTTATTAATTTTTTCTGTATATTTTATCTTCATACAACCTCATAAAAGTAATCAATTTTTGTATATACTTGATGAATTAGGGAAATAATATGAATCTTACTGAAAGGATTTAATTTAATTTTGTACCTTCCGTAAGAATTATAATGTTCTACGTATTTTTTAGAACTATTAAAAAAATCGTATTTATTTTTGTTGAAAAAAGCTTTTGATTGTATTTTCAACATTATAGTTAAAGTGCGGGGCATTTAAGACACAATTTTGTAATTAAAAATGCTATAACTGCTGAAATATAAACTTAACACAATATTCCACTACACATATAAGCGGTGTAATGTAAATGTTACCAATATTGTAAAACAAATTTCTTTTTTTTAATTTATTTCAAAATTATTGGAAAATCTTAATTCTCAACCGAAGAATTATGATTATAAAACAGAAATTTCATTTTAAATTAAAAGATTATCTACATCGCTTATAATATTTCTCATTAAACGGACAGATAAGATTTAGAATATACATACAGTGGAACTACTATAATCTGGACTCAGGATATGTCAAAAAAAGTTCAAAGTACAAAAATTTTTGAGTTAGAAAAAATATAGTTCGAGGTAAGGAGAAGTTCGTCTTACTTCGAGACTATAATGTGAAATAGGGAGCTTTGATTATATTATGTGCACATATTGAATATTATTAATGATAATCCAAATTTGAGCAGAGCATAATAATCACATTTTAGCAGTATTAACTTACTTTTAAAGGAAGGAATAAAAGATGAATAAAAAGAATCAGTTTACATTGATCAAATAGAAGTTATTTACTAAAATCCTAATACTCGTATTATTTCTATTTAAAAAAGATTAACAAATATGGACACTCAAAAACCAAAGTTTGAAAAATTAACCTGACATGCATAATTATATAACGTTTTAACATTTCAAATTACATTACATATGTTAATACAAATATATACGTATGTATGTATGTATTTACAAAAACAAAAAGTGATGAAATTTTTTTTATTTGCTTGTGCTTTATGATACAGACAGACCAGCGCCTTAATTAATATAAACATTTCTCCAAATATAATATGTATGTAAGTATGTATGTACATATGTATAATGTATATCATCAGTATTAAACATCATATTAATTTGTCAATAATATGTATATTACATTTCCACGTTTGTGTATGTATGTACCAAGATAATATCATGTAAATTTTAATTTATAAAAAGAAAACATAACATATATAAGTTATAACAATATTGTAGGTACAATATTTACTAAACAATTAACATATGAAAATAAAATCGAAAAGTTTTCAAAAAAGAAGACAACACACCTTAATACATTATTGCATTGTTTTGAAAAAAAATTTATTCAGTGCTCTTTCAATTGGGAAGTCCGGTATATTATTGATGAAAACAAAAATAAATGAATCACACCAATTTAAAAATTTCTAATATTTTTAATTTGTATTCAATTTTCTTCATAAGATTTGTGTTGAACCTATTTCAAAATTTAAAATAGAAAATAAATTTTTCAACAAAATTTCTATTCAATCATATTAATAGTGTGGTATACTAAGAGGCCTACTAGTTCAACTTAACCAATAGGACTATTTGTGTACTTGTACTCTATTGGTTTATCTGTTAATAAACCAAATCGGTTGAAAGTATGACCTCTATTGAATTAGAATTAAAAAAAAATTTAAATTTCTATTGGAATTAAAAAGATTAAGCTAACATTTCTATAAAAATATAAACATAAGTTTTTTCGTGATCTAGATGTACATACGGTATGTATCTATGTATGTATATATATGCGTATAAATATATAATTACTATATAGCTTAAACAATTACTTTATTAAATCCAAGCATAGGTTTATATTTTGAAAGTATATACATATATACATATGATACATATATATATATTTATAAATTCATGTTAAAAAACAATGTATGCAAATGTTTAAAAATAAATATAAGAAAATTCATTTTACACAAAAATACATAGTTTAATTTAGGATTTCATTATGTAGTCTAAAAGCTTCTTCCTTTACGTAATCTTTTGTGTAGTACCTACTTTGTTATATATATTTGTAAATATTTAATATTTAATTAACATTTTACACTGATTACTAATAAATAATTTGTATAGATATAGGTACAAAACAAAAATATCTAATTTATATACCATTCATAACAACCATTAAGACAGGGTGCTAAAAAA